AGTGGGTGAGAAACCTGGACAATGTTGAACAGTGCAGAGAGGTCGTCTTCAGGAGAGCTGTGATTCCTATTGATGCTGTAAGTTTGAGTTTGGATATAATAGTATCCGCAGATTCAAGCCAAAATGTTGCAGTGGCCTGTGTACATGCAAAAGTGCTCAGGACTACTGGAGAGTATAGTGTACAACTTTTATGTGCTAAATCTAAACTTGTTACTCTTCTAACTGTGCCAAAAGGGGAGCTTCGAGCTGCTACTATGGCAGCTTCTTTGGGACACACTGTGCGCCACAATTATGGAAGCTTTATAGCTTCATCAATTTATGTGACTGATTCGACCATTGCCTTGTTTTGGATGTCCCAGGATGAGAGACCTCTACAGACAGGTGTAAGAAATTGCGTAATTGAGATCAGAAGACTTACTGCCTTGACTAGTTGGAACCATATAGAAAGTAGCAAAAATGTAGCAGATATTGCTACCAGACCGATTAGTGTGAAGGATTTAAAAGATGATTCGGAATGGATTTCTGGTAAACCTTGGATGAAACTTCCCATGAATGAAATGCCTGTGAAAACTATCCAAGAAATTCAGTTATCTGGCGAGGAGAAGAGGTTAGCTGCTGTAGAACTCAAAGCTGCGGATGTCCAGGGAGTATTTCTATCAGAGCTGAAGGACAAGGTTTCAGAAAGATACACATTCTCCAAGTACCTTTTAGACCCTTGTAGGTATAGGTGGGACAAGGTTACAAAGATTATGGGCCTGGTTATGAAGTTCGTAGAGGTTCTCCGCCCTAAGTTTTGCCCAGTCTGGAGGCCACCTATTCCCCCACCAGGAGTCCAACCTGAGGTTGAGGTCAAGACGGACGAGTGGTTTATACAGTATGGAGAAAATTATTTCTTCTTCATTGGTACACAGGAGGTAAAGGAGTTTATGCAAAAGAAAGATTATGTGAGCTGCACTGCAGAGAAGGATGGAGTTCTCCGGTATACAAGTCGTATTTTAGATGGTCAAGATATAGATGACCCGGAGAATACTATGTATGATCTTCATCCGTTATCATTTGTGAAACCTGTGCTGGACAGGTTTTCCCCGATTGCGTATTCTCTTATGTTGTACTGTCATAGTATGTTAGCACGCCATCGGAGCGCTACTTCAACGTTGTTGGAATCTAGAGGAATTGCGTTCATTTTTCGAGGTCGTGACCTCGCTAATGAGGTCAGAGAGAAGTGTGTAGGGTGTCGAAGGTTCAAAGGTAACTTGCTAGAAGCTGAGATGGCCCCAATCCATAGCAACCGACTAACTATCGCCCCAGCATTTTATTTTGTCCAGGTGGACATATTCGGGCCATTTTCTATGATGTGTGAGCACAACCATCGTAGTCAAATCAAAGCATATGGAGTTATATTCAAGGATCCATCAACCGGAGCTGTGAACCTTCATACCATGCAAAACTATACTACGGAAGCGTTTCTCCAGGCCTACACGAGGCACTCAGCCCGGTATGGGCACCCTTGCAAGGTTTTTATAGACCCGGGAACCCAGTTAGTGAAGGCCTGCAAATCCATGGAGATTAGTGAAACTAATTTGGTGAGAACCCTGGAGACAAAACACAGGGTCGGGGTCGAGTTTTCTGTTTGTGCTGCAGGAGCGCATAATGCCCAAGGGATGGCTAATACGAGGTATTCAGGAAGTAAAGAAGCTCCTCAGGAAGGTATTCTTCGGAATAAAGGTAGATCTTTTATCATTTGAAACTAATCTTGCATGGATTGCTAATGAGCTTAACAATTTGCCGATTTGTTTGGGGTCAAGGACTGAGAATTTAGATCATCTTGATCTTATCACCCCGAACCGCTTGATCTTGGGAAGGAATAATAGAAGAGCTATGACAGGGTACGCTAGAATTTCTACCCCCTCAAGATTGATGGATCAGATGGATAAAATTTACCGCTCTTGGTGGAAGATTTGGAAGGAGGAGAAGTTGGAGCAGTTTATCCCCAAGTCTCCGCGCTGGACTAAGACTAGTATGCAACCGATAGTCGGAGATATTGTCATGTTCATCAAGGTAGAGAATGAGGTTGGATTTGGTGAGTCTACTTGGGGAGTCGGAAGAGTCCAGGATATAGAAGTTTCGGAGGACGGTGTAGCACGAACCATAACAATCCAGTATAAAAATGCCACCGAAGGAGTGTTTCGATCCACACGGAGATCTGTTAGGAAGGTGGCGATCCTATGTTCTGAAAATGTGTTGGAGCTTGTGGATGAGCTAAATGCGGCTGCCAGAGAAGTGGATATAGAATTCTCTAGAAGATCTTTATCAGAAACAAAGGAAGGGTTACAGGTAAATGGCTTGTTTTTCAAACATTTTTATGGTCTAAAACATTTGTGTGAGTCTAGCCGTAGCGTAGATCAATTTTTCCCGGGCCGCAGTGTAATATCCCAATATATTAGGAGAACACAGGAGTTTGATCTACACTACTCTACAACGAGAACTTCAAATCTACAAGCCAAGATTCAACTTCAGTGGCATCAAGATCTGGGATAAGCTGACTATCCTAAAAGTAATTTTATAATAATGAATTTTACCTGTGTTGTATAATAATCAATTTTATCTATATAGCCTTATGCCAATTTTATATTCAAGACCAGCATTGATTTTAAAGTAAAGTAAATTGACTAAAAAGTTCAAATGTTTCAGATAATGATGTATGATTTGCATCCTTATGTAATGATCATTGATTAACACTTCCACATAGGTGTGTAAAATACAGTACTTTCAAATAAACCATTACTGTACGTACTGTAAAATCCCCCTGCCCTGCTGCCTTTTCAAATGTATTTATATAGGTGTTCCTTGTATTCGAACACCAGACTGAAGTGTTCTACATTGACTACGCTAGACTCAGGGAAAAGACCATTTAAATAAGCCATGTAACCGTACGTTTTATCTGTTAAAGGGTGAAAGGAAGGATTGATCTATATCCTCGTTATGTTGAAGAAATGGTCTTTTGGAATAGGTTTGGATAATATTCTGTACATGAAGATTAAGAGGAGATGAGTGGATTGACTGGAGCAATAACCGGCTGAGCTTATGGGATCGGCGGAACTACCTGGATACCATAGCAGGTTTCACAGTTTTTTTTATGGATTTTGATGAACTCTGCAATGTGGATTTGTTTAGATGTAGAGATTGTTACAGTAATAATCTTAATAAACCTTCCATGGAACTGCCTGGAAGCCAATCACGGAACTACCTGGAAACCACTAACGGAACTACCTGGAAAGTCCCCACGAAACTACCTGGAAAACCCACGGAACTACCTGGAGTATTTTGGATAAACCCACTTTGTGTGTGAGCTGCTCTGGATATAGCAGGAAACTACTTCTCTGGTTAAACTCCCTGAAGGAGATCAAAGTGGAAATATCCTCCCAGGCCAAATTGAGGATAAATGCAGGTTCGTCAAGTCCTTAATTAATTGTGTTCTGAAGCTGAACATTTTTGTCAACCTTGAATATTTAGAGATGCTGAAATTTGATTGAACACGAGTTGGAGCTCACTTATCTAGTCACAGGAGAATACTAGCACCTGGAGATCACTTTTTGAAACTACAGCTACTGCCATACACAGCGTGCACTATGTAAGTTAAGACTCCTTGTGTTTTATGGGAATATTCTGTAACTGATGGGCGGCATCTAAAGAGACATGTTAAGACTCCTTGTTTTGTATGGGGATTTTCTGTAACTTACGGGCGGCATCTAAATAGACACAGAGAAAGGTGAAAATGATGCACCGGCAGTTTAGCTTTAGGATTCATCTAGAACAATAAAGGTTTTAAGCTTTGCTCATTTATATGGTAGCATAGAGGGCAGGGGTTTATTTTAGCAAATAAAGCAGCTGGCATTTTTAAATAACAAAATGTTTAATAAATATGTTTAACTTATGTATTTTTTTCAGTAATTCACCGCAACTGTTGCTGTATTTAAATCAAGTATAAATAAAGATATATGCGTTTCTACCAACGGCGAGTGTAATTAAGGCAGTGATTGTGTATGTAGCTCTTTATGCTCAAGAGTTAAATGTTTGTAAGTGATTTTCGGCCAGCGAGCACAATATTCTAGTAATTGGATTTTACGATGTCACCGTGAAGTAGTGTTAACTGCACACTGTACATAATACACTAGTGCAGCTAAAAGATAACTATCTCCCCCACCCTACACAAAAACATTGGTTTCTATTTTCCCCCATGAAACTAACCACACAGAAAATATGCCAATATACAACAAATATTTGATTTGCCACACATTTGCACGCGAGAAAAAAATTTAAAAATTTAAAAATTCTGAGATCCTGCTTTACTAAAATAATTAAGAAAACTAGAAAAATATTCTTTCGCAGGAGAGCTGGAAACTTTTGTTTTGGATACCATTAATCCCGATCGCTTAATCATCCACTGTGGACACTTTTGATTTTCTTTTTAATCCTCTCTTTTTGGATATCCCTACTGGGTTCGAGTGCGAGAAAATTATTAAATTGTTCTCTCAAAATTTCCTAGCTTCTGATAGGGCTGTTAGATCTCTGAAAACGACACTCATTGAATTTTACACACTTTCGTAGATATTAAATAAAGATGAACTTATTGATCTCGATATCTACAATACAAGAGTTTCCAGCTAAGGTTCAAATAAAATGTATCGGATGTAATTAGTTTATAGATAAACCTGAGAGCTAAATGTAGTTTCCAACTAAGGTTCAAGTAAAATGTATCGGATGTAATTAGTTTATAGATAAACCTGAGAGCTAAATGTAGTTTCCAACTAAGGTTCAAGTAAAATGTATCGGATGTAATTAGTTTATAGATAAACCTGAGAGCTAAATGTAGTTTCCAACTAAGGTTCAAGTAAAATGTATCGGATGTAATTAGTTTATAGATAAACCTGAGAGCTAAATGTAGTTTCCAACTAAGGTTCAAGTAAAATGTATCGGATGTAATTAGTTTATAGATAAACCTGAGAGCTAAATGTAGTTTCCCAAGATTATGAAGCTTGGCTCCGATGAAGATAACTGAGTTGGAATAAAGCCTGCAGACACAGATCACAATTTATCAATAATTTCTTAAGTATTAATTAAAAAAACCGAAATGTATTTTACAACAAAAATAGTATCTTTTTTAAATTTACAAGTCATAAAGATCTTTTTATAAGAGAAAATACTTAAATTTTATGCCTTACTTAGCTTTTTATTTGTAAATGGTGTAAATGAAAGAGGAAAAATTAACTTTAACTTTCTAAAACCCAGAACTGTTCAATGAAAATCAAAAATATTTCTTTCTCCTTCGTAAAGCCATTTACAATATGAAGCAACTAGTAATTAATAGATGCATTGTATTCTTTAAATATATATTCTATATTCTGCCTAAGATATCTTGAGACTCCGGTAGTAAACCCAGCCAGAATTCTATTACTGCTTTCCTGAACATTAGAACCTGATTAGTTAATCCATTAATACATAATCCAGGCAGGATACAGAACCTGATTAGTTAATCCTTCAATACATAATCCAGGCAAAATACAGAACCTGATTAGTAAATCCATTAATACATAATCCAGGCAGGATACAGAACCTGATTAGTTAATCCATTAATACATAATCCAGGCAGGATACAGAACCTGATTAGTAAATCCATTAATATATGATCCAGACAGAATACGAAACCTGATAAGTTCATCCATTAATGAAAAATCCAGAGCTAAAAACTATAGATTGGATTTTGATACCCTTAATACCTAAAATTAATCTGAATATTCCACTGTGGACACTTTTGATTTCTGCTTCATCCGATCTTTTAAACGCTCTGTTGGATATCGCTACCAGATTCCGACCAATTAGAGTTCTAACATTAAATGGCGCGCAAAATTTGAAATTTCCTGGTTTCTGATTAGCTATTCGGAATTCTGCACACGCCATTCTGATTGGTTCAATTTTAGACACTTCCTAGGATACAATGTAAAGATTAAAATAATATTAAAATTAACAAAAAGAGAAGATAAAGCATTGATCTCGACAATACTAAAGTTTTCAGCTAAGGCAAAATTGAACTATTTAATCAATCCATTCCGAATTTTCCCTTAAATTCGTAATTGCATAAGTTGGAAAAATAATTTCTCTTAGTTTCTTACCGTCCAGTGTCCGGATTGGTAGAAAAAGAGGCAGTTTCTATCCCAGCCAAGATGTACGCAATATGCGTACAAAGAGCCTTCTCCTCAATGACATGCAGTACAGGAGGTGCGAATGAGGGATCGAGTAGACGAAGATTATCGTTGCCTGAACAATTTTGTATTATAAAATAATATCGGATTTTTCATATACAGAAAGACCCATAAACTGTGTGATAGGAAGACGACATTTAAGCAATCATCTGTATACTTGATGCTGTTATAAAGTAAATCGTTTTACCAGTAGCTTGAAACTCAACTAATTAAGTGAAGTGTTACTGTTTACATTGCTGAATTGCTGTTTTTCATGTCCATTGGACTTTTTAAAATCATAACTTGAGTCAAAAATTATCTTCCTATTCCACGGTTTTTATCACGTTTTCATTTTACAAGTTAAAATCGTGAAAAACACTTTCAAGTAATCAACTTATAAGTTAAAATAGTGATAACATCTTTTTTTTTTTTTACTTTTTCGTAATCTTTCTCTTTTTTTAGAGAGGTCAATTACATGGTTTCATATAACTTACACATCTGCCAGAGATGATGAACAGAGGTCGGCCCTGCCTCCGATAAGAAAGGTTTCTCCTCCAATCCAAGTCCTTTTCCTCCCAAAGTTTCCCAGGAAAGTTTTTCCGGCGATTTTTCCTTCCAAACTCCTTCCCAGACATCATCATATTCCTATTATTAAAAATGGATTTATTCGTCTGTACAATTTACAATGTTTGATGTATAATATACATTAGATGAACATTTGGATATCTGTACAATTTACATCTATATGAATTTATTTATATGTTTAGATGGTCTAAGCATATATCTGTTTGCTACGATATTCATAAATAGATTATTCGTCATTACTTGGAATTTTTATAAATTGTTCAGTGTAAAATAGCGTATTTATATAGACGTGATGCCCACAAAGGATGAATCTGAGAAGACGACCTAAAACTTTTTAAATCTGACAGTTCCAATCTAAAATAAATTGTTCTGCCTTGCATATCATCTTTTTGTGGCAATTATTAAAGGATTAGGAAAAGAGAGAGAAAAGTTTACAGTTGCTGGGAATAACAAAAATATGAAAACACAGAATAAATTCAGTACAGTCTTCTGTAAAGTCTCTTCCTCTGTGGGTAACCCTGAACATAAATGTTAAAGAATGTAAAATATGAAAACCTGAATCGGAGACGGACTAGAATATCCTTCGTCTCCAACTTCAGAACGAATCTAAAAATGAAATATAATACAGGGGCGTATTCAGGAATTTGTCCAGGGGGGGGGGATTAAATTTGTTTTTCTTTCCAGGGGGGGGGGGGCTTGGTCACCCCCCCCCCCTGAATGCGTCTTGAATATAAATGCCTTGTCATTAAGCAAATATCATTTTATGAGGGCAAGAATTATGATTGTTTAAAAATAAGCTTTATCTGTGTAATGCATATTATTATTCACAGTTGCCAATTTGAAGATTTCATCCCCAAAAAGCGTCAGATTTGGGAATTTTAACCCGTTTGGGGATAACCCCTAGCAATTTTGGGGTTATGGAAATTCTTCTGTTTTGAGTTGGGAAACTAAAAGATATACTATAAATAATGGATTATGAAAGTTTATGTATTGTATATTTTGAGAAGTTAAAAAGCAAATTACATAGAGAAAAATTAGGAAATCTGAAATTCTTCTTCTTAAGTGCTTTCGGTTTTTTCCTTTATTTTTTAGAACTTACAGTTTGGATGTTTTGGGGGATGCATTTCTCTCGTTTTAAGAGAATTTCAATCCAATCCTTCTGGCAACTCTGTGCAGTGTATTTTCATATTTCCGACCGGAAGAACTTTAAAATAATACCTTGGCATTTGAGTGAATTTCATGCGTATAAACTGCGTTGCTCGGTGTATGTAGATTACGCATCGATTTCATTCCCTCAGAGGGTTGAGGATATAAGCTTCTGCTAACCGTGGATAATTCGAAATTGAAATTGATCGGGTACGGAGCAGAAGAACTAGTTAAACGTATATTTTTGATCAACTCATTAATGTCAAAAACTTGGCGAATAACAATTTCTTGCGGTTCAATACTTTATTTCCATTTAAGCAATCTTTAAACTTAGATTCCAATTTAAACATTAACTACACTTGTTCTTTCATCAATATTGTGTTTTAACTGAAATAGTAGATTTGTACAAGTGTTGAATGCGATTACATTCTTAAATTTATTTATCATAAGTCGCTTTCAGGGAAATCCGGGATAACCTGACCAACCAGAACCTTTTGATGTTTTTGAAGGATGGTTTAAAAATTTTTGTCTGAATGTATCAAAATTACATAATATGATTAGAGGTATTTATCGATAATAATATTTCTTTTGACAGCTGATCTCCTTTAAAATAACAGGGGTAGATTTCATAACAATAAAAAATATACGTTCCTTGATTTAATTGTTTTGTCTCTGCCCTGGCTAGAATAATTGAAACTATCGGAATATGGATTCGAACCCCTTTCTCCAGTTATTTGTAGAGCACAGTCTCCGATTTGTCGAAACCCATAAAACTTCACTTTTCTCGGCCCGGACCCTGCCAGTGCAAGGATACATCGGAGCACATTGTCCAAGGTTGGTTGGGTGATGTCCAACGAATCTGTCAATTTTATCAATTTATTCGAACCCTCTGTATCCCCTTGTATTGATAGCTTTAATCCTTCACCGTACAGTGCGTCAGTACACGAAGTGTATCCAAGTTGCGATTTTAAAATAGGTTTCTTCTTTAATATGAACTCGAACGCAATTCGTTTATATCTCTTGGTTAGTCTGTGATGCACTTCTTTACTGTCTCGGCTGAAAATGTAATTAGATATTCCGTCCCGCCGTGTAGGCGAACATAGCCCGGCATAATACGCCGAAAGGTGAGAAATGAGGGAAATAACACTTTCCTCCTCCTCCACCTTTTCAACCCCCGCCATTTTTACTTCTGAAATTATAAAATGCTAATTTGTATACTTGCAAAAAGTTCATAGTTTATTACGATACATACTTGTTTTACAGCAAAAATTAATAAGTTACAATTAGATCTTGATCATTCTTAACGATTTAAAAAAGGGAAAAAATATGAAAAAATCTTCTTAAAAAATCATACGCCAAAAGTACATTTAGTACATGGTACAATGTTAAACATGTCTAATTTAATAGAATAATTGATGATTTCAGAAATTCATTTATTATTTACAACTCTAGGACCTAGGTAGAAATCATCAAAATATTTATCTTCTGAATATTTATTGTGGGGCTGGTGGACCTGCTGGAGAACCGGCAGGTGGACCTGATGGGGGACCTGGAGGTCCTGCATGTGGGCCTGGTGGATACCCCTGAGGTCTGGCCCCTGGAGGACCTGGATATCCTGCAGGTGGACCCCCTGGACCTCCTGGTGGAGCGGATCCAGGATATCCTGGTTGAACACCTTGAGAAGTTGGAGGGGCCCCTGGATACCCAGCAGGTGGGCCTCCCGGAGGGGCGGAACCAGGATATCCTGCAGGCGGGCCTCCCGGAGCACCAGGTGCACCTGGATATCCAGCTGGAGGTCCACCCGGAGGAGGTGCTACAGCCGGATACCCGGCCGGAGGGCCTCCTGGAGGAGCGCCACCTGGATATCCGGCAGGAGGACCTCCTTGGACCCCTGATGGTGGAGCTCCCCCTGGATATCCTACTGGAGGACCCCCTAGAGGCGCTGAACCTGGATACCCGTACCCTGGGTGAGATTGAGAGTAGGGAGGGAAAGGAGCACCTCCTGGGGGTGGAGCACCAGGCGGGTACTGACCCTGGTAGGGGGCGGGCGGACCACCACCGTATGGAGCAGGTGCCCCACCATGATAAGGCGGAGGCATATGTTGACCCGGGAAGGATGCTCCGGCCGGAGGAGGAGTTGATGTTGCGGATACAGGAGGAGAAGGAGAGTTTTGAGGAATAGGGTTGGAGACAGGAATTGCTCCAACAGGATGTCCCAGTCCCTGAACCTCAGGCTTCAACTCTGTGCTCTGCGCAGGCGCAACATCAGACATCGCTTGATATTGAGGGGGCTTCGCGCCATCCTCCTCGTCTTTCTTATCGTCCTGTGGCGGAGTAGGACTAGGTCCATCAGGACCACAGTCCTTGCTCTCTACAGGCTGTAGGACCTGGCGAGTATCTACTGGATCTGGAGGTTGAGCAGGGGATGGTGGAGTAGAGGCTCCGTCCCTAGCTCTATCTGCCTTCTCCTGGCGGAGCTTTACCAGCTGTTCTTCAACCATCTCCTGATAGCTTTCCTCAGTAACAGCCTAAACAAATAATTATTAAAAAATACCGACAATATAAATATGTCTTTGATAATATTCTATTCTGATGCGGCTCCTATTTGCAGACCCCTCCTGTGAAAAAAATAATTCGGATCCAACTCATAAACAAACAAACCTATGAAGCAAATTTTCCAATCCAAATATATTTTTTTTGGCTTGATTTTATCCTGGAACTTGATTAAGTAAGAAGAAGCCAGACATGTTTACCGATTAACACTCGATAATTGTTTCCGGAGAACAACTTCATTTATTTAATGCTTTATTTTGCCACTCAGATCATCTGAGCTGAAAACTTTAGAATTGTGAATATTTAGATCCCTGCTTGATCTCCTATTTTTGTTAATTTTGTGATTATTTTAATCTTTAGTTGGTATACAGGAAAGTGACTCAAATTCAACCAATCATAGTAGCGTATGCAGAATCCCGAACCTCTAATCAGAATTTACTGAAAAAACGCGCACTAGCCGTAATCCGGTAGGGATATCCCAAAAGAGTGGAAAAGAGCTGATTGAGCAGAAAATAAAAGTGTCCATAGTGGATATTCAGATTAAGCGATCGGTATTATGGCTATCCAAGTCTAAAGTTTTCAGCTCTGATCGTTGATTATTTCGGTTTTTTTTTATCTAATCCTAACCTTCACGCAATGTTTCTTGAGTTCGTCCTGAAACTCTGAGGAAGTATCCAAGAACTTCCTCTTCTTGTTCTCGTACTTGTCCTCTATTGTGGTGAGCTCTGCCTCCAGCTTCTTCTGATGCATCGTCAAGCTCTGCACCTGCCTCTTCAACACCTGCAACAACAAGAGTAATTTAAGATCTAGCTTGAGTGCTCGGCGTTGGCCAGGTTTATATTATAATAAAATCATAGTTACTACCGCCGTTTACCAACGCTTGGAAATAGCTTATGATAATAGGTGAAGTGACCGGGCCACTGAACTTTAAAAATTTCAATTTATTTAGCTTTCGTCACCCCCAGGGTACCCTCAAAAAATTATCATTGTTTTTATTATTATCGGACAACCCTGCATTCGGTGAAATAGGGGTCTGAGCTCATAACCGCCAGAACGTATCCATGGGCCTCCACGGTCCACGATAAACGAAGAGCTTTATTACATAGATGTTCAAATACGTCTTTTGGATATAAATTAAGAAATTAAATTAAGCACTAGTACCATTGATAATATCAAAGAGATCTGACTTATGAAAGCTGTTAAAAGACAAATATATTTTCCTATAACCAGGGGAAGGGTATCGTAAGAAGGGCGATATCGTCAGAGGGATATTTATGAAGATACTTTCAATGTCTTCCCTCTGAAATTGGGAGAGGAAGGAATTAGGGGACAATTAATTTAAGAATAACGAAATACATTCAGGAGATCCCTTAATTAAACCCCTTAAAGAGGACCCTGTGGGACAGTTAATTTTAAGAATAAGTAAATACATTCAAGAGATCCCTAAATTAAACCCCTTTAAGAGGACCCTGTACATTGTAAGGTATTTGAACTGAACTTATCACTCAATTATCCCATCAACTTGTGTCTCGTATTTCTAACCTGCATTCTAGCCGTAGTAACAACGCTTCTTACATCAGGAACCATCGCCTCCGAGAATATTTCGTTAATAAGCCGATGGTTTCGCATAAACCGGGCATGGGCAACATGCTTCACACTAAACAGAGCAGAATTAGACCAAAACATTTCTTAATTACTATTCTGACAGGGATGTATATTTTTCAGAATTGGTCCCACTTACCCCGGGGGGGGGGCGGAAATGACACCCATGCATATTGCATATATAACTTCTGGGGAAAACTAAATGATTTTCTAAAAGGGGGGGTAATGATTTTTCGACAGAATATACACCCCTATATCCTGGTTCAACATTTTAACTGAGCCGAGAAATATTGGTTAAAATGGATCTTAGTCTTAAACCTTGTCTGGATACCTGAACGGAAACTTTTGAATTTGACAATGCTTATCGGAAATATAATTATATCCTGTGAAAAGAATTTATGCTCTATAATTTACATATTCGAGAAAAACTAAAAATCTGACTATAAGATTTGATAGATGCATGATTATCCAAGAAATTAAAACGAAAGGGGGGGGGAGATTCAGTGATTTTAGTCTAACTGCTGATAAATAAAAATAGTTCTGTAAACTTTATCTGTAAACTATTATTTTCTCAAATTTGATTCGTATATTAGTATATAATACATTTCTTTGTGTCTATATTAAATTAAAAAATATTTTCATTTGGATTTTTCAGATACTATTCACGTAGCTCTTTTATTTCTAACAATTTTTCTTTGAATTTTGGTAAGCATTAAACCCAATATTGGCTATCACCCTTGAAATTGTATACTTTTCGAATCTTATTTGTTGATAAGGAAAATATCACAATACCTAAGTCCGTCGTCCGGATCGTCCTCGTCCTCTGCAGGTTGGATATCTATCCTTCTCTCAGTAACCTTCCCTCCTCGGCTTAGGTTCTGAGGAGGCAGCTCCTGCGGATCCTCGATAACAGGGGCTCCTGCAGATACAAGGATACAAGGATACAAGATTACAGGTATACAAGATTACAAGGATACAAGGGTATAGGGATACAGGGATAGATGGATACAGGGATACAAGGCACAAGGAAACAGGTATACAGGGGTACAGTACAGGGATACAGATATACTAGGTAGGGTACAGGGATACATAATACCTAAACTCAAAATGTTGTAAATAGAACTAACCTCTAGTTTTAGCTTGAAGGTAAGCCTGATAGGCAGGACTAGCCTGGTAGGTCTTAAACGCTCTGTCATATTCAACCTAAAACAAAATAGAGTATAAATCAGATCCAATACTTTCCATTTTCTCTGTTTAGTATTGATTTTATTCACTAGCTTCCACCCTTAGGTCACAAAGTTGCATAAATTTGACCTTCTCCTTCTGTCTAGTTCATTGCAATCATAGATAAATAAATAAACATAGATAGCTCATGTACGCAAAATCACCAAGAATTGTTCAGTCCGCGAACTCATACTTCTAAGGGTCATAATGTACTTCAATGATAAGCGGGGTGGTTCGGTGTTTTAATGGATTTCATAATAGAGTGTAAAATAACTCAGGAAATGGAACTATTTGAACAACAATATTTCACTGAGCAATATATCATATTGACGAGAACTGAAGGACATGAGAAGGACTAAACTAACTTAAATTTCTCTCTACAGAACTCATGTACACCACAAGTACTCAATGACATAAGAACAGCCAATGTTCACAACCGACCTAGTTAATCTATATAATAGGAAAATCTTTAAAACGTACATTTATATCTTTCAAGATGAAAAATGTCGTCTTATGCGCAATCTATCTTTAATCTTTATCTATGATTGCAATTTACTAAATAGATTTGGAAATACACAATTTGCAATAGAGCGGTGAAGATAATATTTTATCCCATCGTTAATTTATGTCGGTCTCTCTCAAAAAATTATTTTTTCTATGAAGTATTAAACAAATAATTATAACTGAAATTACCCAAGTAAAATTCGTGATGTAATGTGAGATGAGAATGGCATTAAGAGAAACCCAATGTCTTTGTCATTTTATTTTAGATTAGTGGCTTTTACATCAGGATAAAATTCACAATAGATTGTTTACATGTCGTCTTCCTACTCCATAATTTTATGGGTTTCACTGTACCTTCTCGGATTCATATTCGTCCGTGAACTCTGATTTCTCCCCCTCTGGTAAATCCCTCCACATCTGTCCGATTATCTTCCCGATCTCCCAGAGCTTAAGCTCGGGGTTCTCCGTCTTCACCTTAATCAGGAGAAACAATATCAGTAATTTTTTTTTCAGGATTTATATATTTTCTTTTCTTTTAATTCTTCCCCCCCCCCTTTTTAAAAATAATTTTACTGAATTTGGGTAATAAATAAAGTTTTTGGGGAAAAAGTATTAAAATAAGGCTGTCCAATTTTTCATTTTTTCTCCAGAGCATCATAAATAGTTTGTCTTCTTTTTTTTCGCCTCGGCATAATTAGAATATAGATAAAAATATAAATAATTTTGACTTACCGTATCCCAGACTCGTCTGCTATACCTCATGTACGGCATCAGGGGCTTTTCCGGAGCCTTCGGTGGTTTAGGGGTTCCGTGCACCTGCTTAACATACGACCAGATAAATCATAAAAATTAATTTCTAAATCATATTCAAGCTTTGATTTTATATTTGGTACAAACAAATATTTAAGACGTACTAAAAAATTGCTTTTTAACTATTTAATGTAGCTCGTATTTTTTAATTTAAGAGTAAAAAAAATTATTTCAACTTCTAAATCTAAATCTGTATGGCGTAATTATGTAAGTTGTATATCACTAGATCTATGAAGATTATTATCAACCTGAGGCTTATATATTCTATATCCCTAGATCTATAAAAATTATGTTCAACCTGACATTAATTTAAATTTTAAATTCCTAGCCTCCATAAAGATTATTATCTACCTGTGGTTTAGCCCCTATCTTCTGCGGCGTGAAGGTGTTGTTCCCGTTCTGCTGCTGAACGAAGGGATTCTGCTTCACCTCGTCGAGTTTCTGATGAGAGAAATACCCCTGCAGGAACCAAACAGAACCATAGGGTTAATACAAGCCATGCAAAGCAGTTTAACTACAGATTCATGCACTAATATGAAGGGGGGGGGGGCTTTATGGGAGCTATAGAGGAACTGACCTCTAATCTAATCCCTATATCTTTACATCCTGATGGTGTAAAACTATAATATTTCAGATGAAGATTTTTAATACAGCTGGATTCATTGTTTAAAATAGCAACGCCAAGATTGAAAAGATATAAGGATTATGAAATTAGTATTAGGAAAGAGCTCAATTCCTTTAATCATTTTTAGAGTAAAGGTTTTAATGAGTTAATCAGTTTAAATCTCAAATGACATTTTCCAGAACCATTTAACTTTTTTTAACAGTTCATCTTGACTGGAAATAAGAATTGTTGAGACCTTAAAATTTTACTTCGATTTTAGTTCTATTCTAAAACAAATATTTGGATATAATTCACATAAATTTCAAAATTAATTAATTGATTTATTGATTTGAATTTTGTAGTTAATAACTAAGGTTTTCCTTAAATATGTAATACAAATGTGTCTATGAACGCTAGACGTTCTTTGAAAAAAAAGCCATCTTTTTGTTATTTTTTTTTTTGATAAATTATAAATAAAAGTTTTTTTTTAGGAGTTAAGCGAGGAATATGCTTTAATTCTTTGGGAAGAAACTTTAGTTTCAAAGAATAAACTGGGATTATTATTAATTTATCAATTACAATGGGAATCTTACAGAAAAAAAAATATTAATTAAAAATCAAAACGTTTTAATTACACTAACTACATCAAGCGCAATAAAGCATCAGTTTGATTCGTTGGTTCCTACCACCTTGGAATTTATACCATAAACAAATTTTTCCCCCAAAGATAGTATTCAAAGGTTAGAACTTTGTGTGGAGTATTGTTAATCTTGAAAGCTTAGTCTCGATATTCCAATATTAATAAATCTCAAAATTTGTTTTTGATCACTCAATTAAAGTTATCCCACCACAGACTATCGAAATAATTTATTAATTTAAAGTTGGAGATCAAAGCTTGATCCTGAGATTAACAATACAAAATTTCTAACTTCAGATTTGTTCTTTGCTTTATGTTCATTAAATGAGATAAGCCCCAATTTTGTATTAATCCCAATTAAGACTTAACAAATTTGATATCATCAAAGGGGGGGGGCCACAAAACGTATTACTCTCCGGAAAATTTAAACAGTGTTTAAACATAACTTAGAATTGTCTTAGTGGTCTGATTTTTTGCATGCAAACTCAGAATTATGTATATTACGTGCATTTTTTGGTTTTGAAGGAATCTGAGCAAAAGTGCGTGCGCGCGCGCGTTTTTTGTGAAAAAATGCGACTTTTTTGACAGTAAATCAATGTTAACTTCATTAATTGCACTTGAAAATTTTTCCTGACACTCTTGAAACAAATATGCGCTAAAAAAATTCAACCCCAAAGGCTTAAATGTCCGCGCGCGCGCGCAATAAAAGAAAATATCTTT